CATCAATATGAATAATGGGAAGTTATTTTATTTCCAAAAGCCATCGTTTTATCTGCCATTGACAAGTTTACCATAATCTATATTAGCTTATAGTCATTATTTCTCAAGGGCCTAGGAAAGATGAAAAAGACCAGTTCAGTGAAATTCTCTTATTTTGGTATGGTATTCAAACAGCTCTGCCATGATCGCAGCTATAATTAACCAGCAGTGTTTGTGTACTTGGAGAGAAGTATGTGTTCCGTACTTTGGTAAATGATTCTATACTGAGGGGCACCCAGGCCAAGAGCTCTGGAGTCATCTTTATGTCCTGTGCACAAAGAACCAAAAACTTATCAAACTGGTATCTCCCCACATTCCAATACCAGATATAGAGAGCTACCAATGTCCAACACTATCTCTTCTCATGCTGTTACAACTGTGTCTGCCTCTTATCCTCTTATATGTTCATTATTTCCATTTTCATGTTTCCTTAAACATGCAAAAGTCCAAGCTACCCTAAAGCACACTGCACACGTCTTCTTTTTCTAGGTCCAATATCTTACCTCACTAATCCTTAACCTGCAGACATTTGCCACACACTGTTCTCAACAGCTGCTCTAACTTTGAGTTAGTGCCCAACCTCAGTCTGATAAATGCTTGTGTGGTTTCTTTCACTCTTCTTGAAGTAACCAGATGGACAGCATCATAACACTTCCTTATGGCCCTCGGAGCAGTAGGTTTAATATACACACACACACACACCACAGTGTGGATGTAGAATATACCATTTAGGGTTTTGTTAGTCACTCTCTGAGGTTCGCACAATGATGAAATTGTCTAATGATGCATTTCTTAAAATATATCCGTGCTACACAATGCACAGTGATACTCTTCCTGGGCTTTGCGAGGCCACTCTTTGTTGATTTCTTGCCTCCTAGGTCAATGGCTTAATAAGCAGTCACTCCTTGTCAACTCCTTCCAGCCTCAAATACGTATTCATCAAGTCTCCAAAACATTACTCCTTCCTCTCCCACAACAGACTCCAAACTAATTTTACCTTCTTCCTTCTATGTACTGGTAATGCCTGAATCTGTACCTCCACCCATTAACTTTTTGTAAATATTCAATTCTTAGAAATAACCTTCCAGCAATTTCTCTGTAGATGTCTGCAAAGCACTGCATATTAAATATGGCTAAAATTAAACTCACTGTCTTCCAAACTTTTTCTCAAATCTGCTCCTTTTCCACTATTCCCTACTTGAAGTTATGTATTTGCATAATACATACATATGCATCCATGTGATCATAAATAGTATATGCATAAAGAAAAAGGTAAATGCAAGACCATACTCACACCACACAAGGTGCCACATGCTGGGAAAACTGCAAGTGGTTTGTGCTGTCTGGGTATGGAACCTGTTATATTCACCATCTATCAGGCCAACTCTACTTTATTCACACTACTGATCTCTTTCTTATTTATTTCACCTTCAACTACATGAAAATTATATGTACATTCTTACTAATAAAGAATTTAATAAACTTTAAATATTAGTAGCATATATTATACAACCAGATTCTTGGTTATACAGTACTTGTTGACCTGGTTCTTAAGAATGACCAATATAAACCTATTATGAAATTAACATCTGACACTTGTTTATTTATCATTTATTTTTTTATTTTTTTATATTTTAGTACAGGGTCTATAGGGTCTCACTGTGTAAATTAGACTTGTAATGATCTGCCTGTGTTCAGTCACCCAAGAGTTGGGATTACAGGTGTGCACCACCACACCTAGTCTCAATAGCCATCTCAGCATGCCCCAAGAGCACGGCTGGCCGGCATGCTGAGGACTGAATCCTCGCTGCTGTGTCTGCCTAAGCAGGTGCTTTAATCCGCTGAGCTATTCTGCCGGCCCCTGACACTTAACAAAAAACTTTATAGAGTCATTCCATTTAATGTACTCTTGATTTCAAAAAGTAATCATTCTGGGCATGGTGGCACACACCTGTATTCCCAGCGCTTCAGAGACGCTGAGGTAGGAACATTACCTAGAGTACCAGGCCAGCCTGGGCTACAAGTGATTTCAACACCAGCCTGAAATACATGGTGAGACCTTGCCTCAAAAGACCAAAACTACACCAAAACAACAATCCCTCCCCCCAAAAATAATTTTCAACACCATGTGGGCCCTAACAGGGTGTTTATTTACAATATGCCTGGGACTTAGTAAAAGTTAGGCATTGTCATCACTGAGTCATTGATGTTAGCGAGTTACTACTGATTGAGAGAAAACAAGCAAGTGAACAACAAAGTGTGCAGGGTACACAGGCTTTTAATTGCTTTGTATGCCAGGACTGCTGCTCAAGCAGCTATGAGGAAACAGTCTGGCTATATACTTCTCCCCACACTACTGTGCTCTCATTCTAGCTCATTCCTTATACAACCTTTTCACAAAAAAAAAAAAAAAAAGAAAAGAAAAAAAAACTTTCAAATGAACTTGCTAGTACCATATAAATATTTTAGTTTTAAAATTTTTACAAAAACATAAAAAAGCACCTGTGATTATTATTTTGGAATCAAAATAGTTATCCAGTATTCTAGGAACTTGGAAAATAACTATTACACATGGATTTCACCCCCAAACACTACAGTCCAGAAAAACATCAGTATATACAAAATATCACAACAGGCAGTCTTCTGGCCTCCGTATCTTTCAAGAATGAGGGACCACACACCATACACAGTAAGCACTATACAAATCCATCAAGCTGAGTAATTATTAGTCTTGTTTACTAACCTCTTAATTAAAGTGCATTTACTACTAGTCACAACCTTTATAGGCTAAAACCAGTAGAAAGACAACGTGGCTACAGTAATATGAGAAGTGATGAAGAAAAACGATAAAATAAATTGGACCATCAAGTTAATACTTGTCTATTTCAGAGCATGAGTTCTATAAGCTCAGACACCACAGCTGCACTGTTAATACTGTTCCTCTCAAGGAAGCAACACGCAGCAAGCAGTCCACCAATACTAACAGACAACTAGAAACCCTGTACTGCCATTCTGAAAAAATATAATTAGAAGTACTCTGGAAGCTTAGTGAAACCATCTTGTACAAAAACCAGAATCTGAAGTGTCACTAACCATAATAATCCAAGAAATAAGTAAAAAATGAAAAGTCCTAATTATGCCTGTAAGTTAAAAAAACAAACAAACCTCCCTTTAACATAAACATCTAATCAGCACTATACTTTGCTCTCTAATGCTGTTGAATTTTTATGAAAAGTTCAAAGAACTGTTGAAAGTCATTATTCTTGTCACTAGCTAGAAAAATAAAGAGAAAGGCTGATTTCTCTTTATTTTAATACCGTGTGTGTATATTTTAAAAGTTATCTGGAGCTACCATAGAGCTGAACATTCTAAAACAGCATAATGAGACTTTTTTTTAAATCAAAATGGTAAGAAATGAAAAATACAATTTATTCAAGAAACAATGCCTTTGAATTGTTATGATAGGCACACAACTGTTCTCGCTAGGCTCTTTTCCTTGATCATCCTCTCTTCTTGTGCTTTAAATACTGGAGACCTCTGGCTACATTCTTATCTCTCTTTCCTAACAATATTCATTATCTTCAGTGAACTCATCCAATTCTTTGGCTAAATAATGGCACTTGCTGATGAGGCCCACATTTCTACTTCCAGGTATAACCACTTAACTCAAAAATCTGCAGAGCTAAGTGCCTACTCAGCACTTCTCCTCACAGTCTAGCAGGTACTTCCAACACACACTTCCCAAAGGCAAATTCTTGATGTACTGTCCTAAACTTCCTGATCCTAACACTATTCTAATGTACTTGTTAACTGAGAAAAACAACATAAACCTTCATGAAAGTATTCAGGCCATACTTAATCTCATACTGATTTCATTCAAGAGATCCTAACAACTTTTCTTTTATGGACAATTCAACCATGCCTCACCACTAATTCTCATGTCACCACTGTTCCCTGGCCTCTGAAATCATTATAACCAGACCCACATGTTGACTCTTGAGTGAAAAGCTCATTCATCTGGATTTAGAGTAATCCTTTAAGAACATAAATGAGATCACTAAACTTCCCAGCTTTCAACCTGAGCAGCTTCCCATCAAATTTAGAATCAAATTCAAATATGTACATATCACGACCCCTATGAACCTCTATGATTCAGCCTGGGGTACTCCTGAGATCATTTCCTCCCACTCTCTCATTCATAAAATCTCCCTCAACACGGTACATTCTCTGCAGACCTTGTATTTGTGAAGCACAAAATCTTCTTAGGATCTTTGGCTATCCATAACCTTATACCTCAATGATAGCATCGAAATAGCTGCAGAGTTTGTTTCCTCCCGCTATGCAGATATTTTATTAAAGACTGCTTCATTTATCATCATAGCTAAGGCAGAATATTGTCCTAGACATTCCTAATATAGCTTATTTTTCATTGCAGGATTTAAAACTGATGGATGCAACATAGCTTAATTACTTTTTGTCTGTTTTCCCTATTAGGTTCCCAGGGAAACTGTATTTTATTCACTGTGTTCCCAATAATGTTAAGAGACCTAAATACAGTAAATAATGAATAGTTCCTGAAAAACTGAATTAATTTAAGAAATGATGTTCTGGCAATATATCATGCACATGCATAAACTCCAGATATTATTTATATATATCACCCCTATACTGAAAATTATAACTATCAAACTACTTTCCAAATACTTAAGCATGAAAGTCCCAAAGAAATCTAGTTCTACAGAAAATTATAAATACTGATTGCTGTTTGTGATAGGAAGTATTAAAATATATATAGACTTCATCAGTATAATCTTTCTACAAAGGAAGTTCATAATTAAAAACTTCAGAAATTTTTTTGCGAGTGTAAAATATTGGTTCCTTTTCTAAGAAAACAACCAAGATACCATATCTCATTTCTCAGACTGGTTGAGAAAAACATTAAAAAGCAAAAAGGCACTTACCTCCCTTTTTCTACCAAGAATAAGACATCCAGTTTTTCCCCATTTTGAACTATAGTGCTGGTTGCTGAAGGGATTTAAAAAAGTATACACGTAATTTTTAAAGGTTATGCAAAACACCAAGAAACACACAGCTATTATTACTAGAGGTAAACTCAGTCATAAACTATTATAATTTGATAAAAAAGCTAACATTATTGTACACAGTATAAAATTGTATCTTAAAGGGGGTTAAAAAACACATCTTACTTAGCTCTTGCAGTCGTCTTAAATGCATTCTGTCTTCTTGAGCTTCTTGCATATGAAGGCAAAAGCGCAGACTAGACTTGTCCAGAGCAAACCAGCCTTTTCTCCACTGATCCAAAGCATGGCAGTCTTTGTAGAAGAGTTGACCGATCAAATCATAATCAGCTTCTGTTAAGTTTTCAGCAACAAAGGGAACAAAATGCTGTTAAAACAAATACAGAAAGGTAATAAAGACAGGGAAACTGGAAACTCCTTCCCTATCTACAGATAGGAGAGAAATTTAAAAATATCATCCTACTTTCTCTATTTTAAAGATTTGTATGTTTCCCAAAATTCAAACAATGTTATTTAAATCTGTATAATTCTTAAAATTGAACAGCTAAAGTTAATCTTTAAATGAGAGTATTTTAAACCATTCTTTTTTTCTACATATAGGCTTGAAAGAGGGAGACATTTCTTTGTGAATTTGTGATATTTTTTAAAATGTCAGTTTTCCATGCTTTTGTCCATTCATCTTTTACTGACTCTGAGAATAATTTTCCTAAGGTGCTATGTTAATTTCTTATCTGTTGCAGGCATCAGAAATGTCGTTTTTAACCTCCTTTGACTGTCTTTGAAAATCTATTAAGTACAGAACTTATGCCCTGAATCTTATTTAAAGCTCCTGGACTCTTGAAGCTCAAATACAGACTCCAAGTTAACAATCATTTCTTGACTTACGCAATGTATTTAAGTACCTTGGCTATCGTCTCCGTCCATTTTCTTTGAGCTTGACTTGTTTCAGCTCCAAATAGGAACACACGCTCTGAAGGTAAGTAGATCTCAAAGATAAAAACGGGCCTACAGCATGCACAAATAAAAAGATGCCATCAGTGATGCCTGGCTTGAACAAGAACACCACAAATGTCAAGGTTTTAGTTAAATTCCTTTTAAGAATGGGATAATGTGGGCAATCTATTTAAATATTATTCTGTTTTGCACTTTGTTTGTTTTTTCCTGAGCTAAATGGAACACACTGGATCAGGCAGAAAGAACATTTTTTCTGATTAATCACTCTCTACCACGACTTTGTCAAAGCCTGGACACCCATCAGTGGATCTGTCTGACAAGGGTTCTCCTTGACGCCAGCCTCCCCCTCAGAAAACTCCCTGTATTACTCTAAATGCTAAAAAATGGATCCAACTCTTTTTGATCTTGTTTTTGTCTTACGTCAGAGGTACCCTATCCACCATGTCATCTAATGACAATTTCACCTTTTCACTATAGAAATACAGGAGCAGCACCTCACGTCCTGAATGCTTTCTTGATTTTCTCAACCTCAGGTCCCAGCCCCTTCCTGGCACATGCTAAGTATGTGTGCTACAGCCACCTAAATAGCAAGAAATACTGCATGCCAAATCTGTTCCATCTCTCGTCACGGCCCAATTTAAAGGCATCCACCAACTTCATTCACAGCCCCAAACCTTGAAGTTGAACTTACTTCCTGACCACATTTTGTCAGCTCAACCAGAGATTCTTGTAGTCTTCCCTCCTCCTTTTAATTATCATTTCCTTTACAAATTGGTAGCTACAAGCTTTCTTCCTCCAATCTCTTTTTTTACTGATTCTGCTAGCTCTCTTTCCAAAATACAAACCTGCCTAATTGCTCAGTGTCTATTTCACAGTACAGACCTCAAATTCTATAGTGGACAGCAGCAATTGAAAATGGGGCCATAAAACTACTTTGTAATCTCGTACTATTAAACATGCAAATGCACTTGCATCAATATTTTAACAGAATGTTTTATTTTCAGTATGTTCATTATGTTGCCATAAAGAACATTCTTTAAGATGTACCTTCAACAACTTTATAGAAGGCATTTCTTTTCACATCCCATGCTAAACCACATTAAATTGATTATTCATTTAGAATACAAGCTCTATTCAGATTAAAATGAAAACAAATCAGCTAATAATTAGTTTGTGAATATCAAAATCTACTTAGATTTATCAGAAAGGAAGTCATCTCAACTAGTATACTGGTGATTATTGTTCGTTATTACCTAATGTAATTAATACTAGGATATACTGCTCATATATTAGCCATTATGACATAATGCGCTAACGTAACTATTTAATAATGATAATATAGTTCACATAGTTTTGGGCAGCTAATCTCTACAAATCTCTACCCTCATTTTAAAAACATTAAAATACTGTACTTCTACAAAACTTTTGGTTTTGAGTTTCCCTATTTTTATTTTTATTACATGTTTACAGTACATAATGATTATATCCGCGTGGGGACCAGGACAACTGAACAACACACCTCAAGCTTTTCTGTGTGCCTTTCCTCTCCCTTCCAGTTCACGCCTGTTTTCTAGGTCCCTTCCCTCTTACTGAAAGCTCTAGCTCCCTAGTTCCTAGTGTTCATCTTTTAACTTGCTCTATTTATGCTCTGGGTCTCTCATAGAAGAGAAGTCACGAAATACGTAAGCTTGTGTGTCTGATTTACTTCACTTAATGTGATGGCCTCAAAGCACACACATTTTCCTATGAACGACTCAGGTTTATCCTTATTGCAGGATAGTATTCCACTATGTACACATTTCACATTCTCTTCATCCACGCATGTGCTGGACACACAGGCTGCTTACAGACGTCTCTACTGTGAACTGTGGTGCTACACACGTGCGCATGCTTCACTGTAACACGATGATGGTGGTAACTCTTCTGGGCTGACACATACAGGGGAATAGCTAGGTCAACAGGAATTCCTAATTTTTTCTTTGAGGAATCAGCACATTAATTTCCAAAATGGTCCCACTAGCTGACATTCCCACCAATGTCGGAGAAGGGCTCCTTTTCCCTGCACCCTCACCAGCATTTTTCATTATTCTGTTCTTGATGGCCACTCTTTCTGGAGTAAGACGGAATCTCAGTGTTGTTTTGATTTGCTTTGGCTAAGAGCCAGAGACAATGAATATCTTTTCATGCATTTATTAGTCAGCTGTGCTTTTCTGACAAATGTCTCTTTATTTCTGTATCCATTTAGATTTTAATATTTACAGGTTTTCATTTATTGTATTGCAAAATGTAGGATCTTACATGCTATCTCTAAAACTCTTCACAGAATCCATTCAAAATGTTCTGCATCTCAAACCCATTACATGAATAACATTTAATCTTTTAATTGCAGCTTCTTTAGACTATCAAAACCATAAACACATCTTTAAGAAATTTGGCTCTAAATATGCTATGCATATATCTGATGTATCTTTATTTTAATGTGAGTCAGCCAGCACTAAATATTTTTCTCATCTGTTTTAGCCCTGACACTCATTAATCAAACATAAATTTTATCATTAGTTGATTATTTAAAATAATGCCTAAATCATAAAGGTCAAAGTGCTGCAATAATGATTGGAACATAATAAATCTACTTAGGAGTGCATGCAAACACATTGCTTTTAATATTATTTAGCATATTTTAATGATCTACTTTTTAGGGGCTTCCCTAAAGAATTACTGAACTATCGCCCTGGTCCCCATTAAATTCTTTTAGAGGGAAAAACTGAAGGCCTGAAATGTACTATATAAAACCCTCTTTACCTGCTATGGTAGTTGTCTACAAGTACCTTTCCATTCTTACCCAGTATTTAAATAGAAGTCGTCTTTGTGGATAGCCAGGCAGATAACCTCGCTGATGTTAATGGTGCCATTGGGTGTAGTTGACTTATCATTTTCATAGTAACTCAAGAAGCCTCCTTCCAAAACACACCACTTTTTATTTGTCTCTAGAAATTAAAGCAAAACAAATTTTTTAAAAACACTGAATTATAACCTAAGTCTACCTTCTAAAAAAATACACAACTTTAAATCTTGACTACATTCAAATAAATAATTTTTGAATTCTGGTTAAACAGCACAACAGTGCTGCGTAGAATATAAAGTTGGCACACTCTGTTCTTAAAACAATCTGTAATCGAACAGCAAGTGATATACCCGACAAAAATGATTCCTAACGGACACGCAAGTAGGCACATCCATAAAGGGGAAGTGGCAAAATAATTCTAAAACTTCAAAGATTGATGTCTGTAGAGAATAAGGGGTGGGGGAGCAGCATAAAAAGTAAAACTACACCTACTAACTAGGCAGGAATGCTAAGGAAGAGCAGTCAAGACCTGCAGTGTCTTCCATGTTTCGTTCAGGGCAAATAAAATGCAGCCCGTCAGGGTCACCACATTACGGCATGGAGGCCAAATCAGACCATTACCTGTTTTGGTAAACACAGCTCACTGGCACATAGCCATGCACACTTACTCACAGATTGTCCATGGCTATTTGGCCACTAGAAGGGCATGGCTGAGTTGGCCCACAAAATCTGAACTTTGCTATCAGGCTCTTTAAAGATAAGTTTGCTGATTCTTGATCTGATAGGTAAAATGTTTCCAGCAGTGAAATATAATCAGATCTGACTTTTACACATTCTGCTTACTGCGAAAAAATGTATTTGAGAGAGTGAAGCTGGAGGCAGGGAGACAGGATGCAGCCATGCTGGGGATTGAAGTGCAGCCTGGCACATGCTAGGCAGGCGCTCTGCCACTGAGCTACCACCCCAGCTTTGTTAAATAATACTATACAGTAAAACCTGCTTAGAATGTTCAGTTTCCGTAGATAAAAGGGGTTACTTTTATATTATCTCTTCACTATGCTATTTTAGTGCTCCAAAAAGCAGCATAACTCAACTTGTAAGTTATTGCACAGAATGAAATTTTATAAACAACATTCAATTTTTAGTCTGAGATCTATAAACATCATGGCCCAGAAAGTCTATATATTAGATATATGAATAGTCTAAAGATAACTTGCTGTCTGATCACTCTACATTATTTTTCTTTACAAAGATATGCACTTAGGTACTAGGAGTGAAAAGGGTCACATCCACAACTTCCAGTGATTCGAAATATAAGCGTGCACAGATAAAACATGAGAGAAAAAGATATATACACAAATACATGTGCGTATACGTATGAGGGTGTGGACATAAAAACAAAAAAAATTAGGAGGAAGCAAATATAAATACTGGTAATTAGATCATCGAAGTATAAAAGTTCTCCCCTATACTTGCAACTTTCTGAATCAAATCAAATCAAAAGAATTAAAACTTAAAAGAAAAAACACAATTTAAGGAGCACCAGACTCTTAGGTGAAGTGGTGGTAAGTAGAAGACAAGACAATGTATCCCTAGGAAAATCACTCGTCAGACAAAAACCCTAAGAAGTACAGAATACTCAAATTCTGAAAAACAGACTCCCAAATGACAAGGAAAATTATAACTCGCAGAAGCAACCATCACAAAGAAATCCTCTATGGGTAAAGGAAAAGAAGGCTACCAGAGATCCATCAATTTCAAGTGGAAAGTGATGTATTATTCCAGGACCCTCAAATCCTGAGTCAGAGAATATGTGCTTAACTATTATATAAAGAAATCATAAAAGCTCTGAACTTTTTTAAATTTTTTTTTAACATTTATTTAGTGTGTGTGTGTGTGTGTGTGTGTGTGTGTGTGTGGCCAGCTCAGCCCACCAGGGGGCGCGGCTGGCTGGCATGTGGTGCTGGGGGATCGAACTGTGGTCCCTGTGCTTTGCTTAGCTTAGTTTGTTCCAAGTAGGTGCTTTAGACCACTGAGCCATCTCTCCAGCCCACAAAGCTCTGAACTTTTAAGTAAATGATTATTACTTTTTTTTTTTTAATATACTGAGTACAGGGTCTACAGGGTCTCACTATATAGACAGAATCTGTAGTGATCCTCCTGTTTTCAGCCTCCCAAGTGCTAGGGTTACAGACGCACCACCTTGCCCAGTCTCAGTCACCATCTCAGTGCACCCTGGGGCAAGGCCAGCATGGCACGCTGGGGATTGAACCCTGGCAAGTGCACTCTGCCTAAGCAGATGCTTTAGTCCACTGAGTTATCTGGCCAGCCCAATCATTGCTTATTTCTAAGATATATAGATATAGATATATAGATATATAGATATATAGTTATGTATAAAACATTGTGCTAACCAAAGGTAATTGTGAAATAATTTCAAAATAAGATAGTCTGATGACTAAAATAATCTTCATGCAAACTGGAACAAAAAGTTCACAATATTCAATACACAGATAACCCTGGCACAGACTAGAGTTCTACCTAATGCTATCACCATCGGCCTACAATCCCACAGATGGGGAGATGTGACTGCAATGGTAGCAGTCAGGTGGTCTCTGTGGGTTGGCATTTTCAGGAAAGAAATCACTGTCAAAAGACTGGAGTGATCAGAAAAAACCTTATCAGAAAAACAGATTTTGCAATAAGTCTTTATTATTTGGAAAGCACGTTTCTAAAAGAAATGCACTCAAAGATATGATCATTTCATAATTTTGACAAAGAACAGTTTGAGGAGAGTCAGAGCACAGAGAAAAAGCAGAAATGCTATTTGGCTGGACAATCAGATTGCAAAAGGAGGCAGGAAACAGGAAATAAGGCTGCAGGATTAAGGCACAGGCCAGGCCCCAGGCCTCCTGTGCCAAGTGCTCCGGGGTATGTGCCTCTTGTAGAAGACAAGTGGGAGACATCTCCAGGCCTTTAACAAACAGTATCACATGAAATGAGGCACAAATGAGCCCTGAATGTAAAACCTAATTACATAAATTTTAATGGGAAGCAAAGGACAGATCTCCTTTTAAAAGGTGCAGGCAAACTCATTTTAAGTTAGGAATGTGGGCTGGAGGAGATTTAGTCTTTTAGCACTATTCTTTCTACAAGCATTTCTTAGCTTTATATTCCTAAGTGAAATGGGCCCAGAGGTCAGACAAGGCAGGCACACTTATTACCTTTGAGGACTTAGAATAACAAAGCTGTGGTGGAAAGTCTTGACACTCCTATCGCTTTGGGAAGCAATAAGAAGGTTTGGCAAAATTACACTGGACAATACTGGCCTGCTTAGGCCAATTTAGACCTGCACTCTTGGCTTTAAGAAATGTCAATGCCCTTGAGAAAAACCTCTGTGGCAGAAGGCTTACTGTTAATCAGTTTCTAGAGCACATCAAGCAAAATAAACTTGGGACCACAGAATGGGTCACTGTCAGGTCTCAGCAGTTTGACAGGAGCCTGATTATGAGAAGCAAATGGATGGAACAGAGAGATTATTTCTATTCATTTGTCATATCTAGAATAGAAGGGAAACAAAAACAGTGTAGGATCTACCCAAGAGCAGGTAAAGAACTACAGAAGCTAGTATTAAATGCTAGAAGGGTACTGGATTCTCTACTTCAGCACCTTCTGAGTTACAGTCTGTAAGAAAACACATTTACATACAAACTAACCGGAAGCCAGAGGTAGCTGTATTTATATGTAATCCCTGCACTGAGCCTTCTGCTTAGTGTTCCGCTCATCCCAACATAGCATGCGGCATGCACCATTCTACATATTTTATCTGTTTTACCTCACTGAACCCCCAGAATTATCCTGTCAGGTCAGTTCTGTTATTATACCATATCCATGTACCCTTTCCACAGACATTTAGGATTTAATTGATTTCAAGGTCAACCAGATATTTAGTATCTAAGCAGGCCTATAATCCAAGCAGTTGTATTCTGGAAGCTACTCTCTTAACCACTGCAAGACATCCCTGGGTCCATTCCATGTTTGAATTACTTAAATCCATTTAAAAAATGGACTGGGTAGAGAGGAAGTCACATCTTCTAAAGTATATCTGAAGTAGATAAAGCAAAACTATTGTTTTTTCAAAATCACAAAGTTGTTTTCTAATCAAGAATTTCCTAAATTGCTGAGATCCAGCATCCACTGAAGTTACAAGTACACATCAGGATGCTTTTTAATTTAAATGAAAAGATTTCAACCTTGAAAAAAGTTCTTTTTAAAAAATTACATAACATAGGTTTTTATAGAGCAAAGGATTTTTAAGAATTGTCAATGCTAATCTATGAAATTAAATACAAACAGATCAAAATAGTTTCTAGTAAACCGTATCAATGATTTTTAAGAAAGCAAACACTGTGTAAACAAATCAAAGTAAGATACTACGGGGAAAGTATGGCTGAGGAGGAAAAAAGGAAAGCAAAACTAGGGTGCTGTTATTCAGCTCTGTACTTAGGTTTAACAAGAGCTATCAATCTTTCTTTTCCTAAGCACTATAAAGTAAGAAGGAAAAAAAGAAAAATACAATCAGTCTTTATAACCAAGCTAGAAGAACTTCAAATCCTGAAAGGTGAACTGACAGCGTGATGCTCTGCAGCTCCTTGAAGGATTCAAGTGTTTTACTCCCAGCCTTTGCCTTTGCTTGTGATCACTTCGCTCTGGGTCTCCTGACAAGTGCTGCCTGAGTGCTTGGTCCACAAGCTTGCCTTCTAGAGGCAAAAGTGACAACTACAGGATAATCTGCACATCTTTCCAAAGAATTCATCTTTTTCCCTGATGGTGATACTCAGTTATAGTAACACCACTGCAGAATCCTGGAAGGAGAACAGAAACCTAGAACTCTGTTTCCTCATAGTTCTTTTCCTCTCTCATTTTTATTTTATTTTATTTATTTATTTGGTTGGGGTTTTCTTTGTGGAGCCAGGAACTGAACTCAGACCCTTGTGCTTGCCAGGGAAGTAATTATTCTACTGAGCCATCTCCCCGGCTCCCCCTCTCAGTTTTAAGTATGCTCTTTTTGAACAAACTATTCTATGCATCAGCAATTATTTTGTTCAGTCATCCTCCCTTTTCTTGGGAGTAGATACATTCCAAGACACTCCTTGAGTGTCAAAAACTATAGATAACAGTGTAGATGTCTGTTTGTGGGTCTATATGTAATTTGTGTACCTATATGTACATATAGTTCCTTCCTATAACTACACAGCTATGGAAAAATTTAAATTATAAATCAGGTACAATAACAAATTAACAATAAAATAGAGCAATTATTAAAAAACAGTATAATACAAACTTACTCATTGTTTATTTCTATAATTTTTCATGTATTATTTTCAGGCCTCAGATGACTGCAAGTAATTAAAACACCAGCAAAACCACTAATATGATCAAAAACAACATACTAGTACGTGATTTGCTCTCTTACCCTGCTAGTAACTGGTTTAAAAAAAATGGTCACTCATTCAGCTAACATTTGCTCTCTCCACATTGTTTTGGATGTCAAAGATTTGATATCATCGACAATCCAGAAATAGCCAGGGCCTCACTGAGCTGCAGAACGAAGAAAATGAGCACTGGAACCTCAGAAGGAGAGAGTGAGGAAGAAATGAAGAAGGAACTGTCGTCCTGTGGGACGTGCACAACGGAAGTATGCAGAATCCTATGGAAGAGAAGAGCTGCCAGTGGACACACGTGAATATGGCGACACAGAGGCCTTGCTGGCTGATCCCTAGCGAGCTCAGAATCCAGCCTGGAGAAAGTGCCCTCCTAAGAAACCAGGCAGCAACTCAGGGGTCCAGATGGCATTTACAGGAACAGATGGGAAGCCAGTACAGCTAGGCACGGGCACGTACAGAGGAAAGCCAGGAGGATCTGTGCTTACCTAATAATTGACAAATTTTTATTGTGTCATGGTGGCCCATGAGATCTGTCCAGGACACCATGAGAAATAGGAATGAGAAGCTGTTGCATGAACTTGGACAACAGAACTACAGGGGCCACGTTATGTTACAGACTGTTAGGCCTGTTTTGTGAAAGGCTGGAGCAAAGCCAAGGCAGATCCAAGATCCAAGGTGGTGAAACACAGTGTACTGCATCAGAGGAAGGACAGGATGGGACCAGGACTAAGATAGTATCTGTGGAGGTTCTCTTTTTGAGTTGGAAACTGCAGAACTTGTTGATTAAATTAGATGAAAGAAAAGAAGACAATCAAATACCTTGCTGGAAGATTATTTTCAAATGAAATCATTTTAATGTACCGTATGGCTAAAACTCAGCAACTCACTCTGACATTTTTATTTTTATTTTTATTTATTTATTTATTTATTTATTTATTTATTTATTGTACTTTAGGGAAGGGTCTACAGGGTGTTCAGGGTCTCACTACTAGATCTGACTCAGTGATTCTCCTGTTTTCAGCCTCCTAAGTGCTGTGATTACAGGCGCAAACCACCACACCCAGTCTTAATCCCTCTCTCAGTGTGCCTCAGGGGTGGGGCCAGCATGGCAGGCCCAGGAATCAAACCCCCTGACCCGTGTGCCTGCAGGTGCTTTAATCCACTGAGCTATTTGGTCTGCCCTTTGGCATTATTTTTAGAAAAATGTTCAAAATGGGGAAACGACTCTAAATAAATTATACATATTGTGCAACCTCTCTAGCTATAGTGCCAAATCCATGCATTTACCCAACTAAGGATATAAAATATTGAGGGAAAAAACTGTATCTGCACTGATTATTTACAGACATGTCATGTCAACATTCCCTAAACAATGTGGTATCATACACCATGTTCTACTGCATTAGGTAACAGGTTAAGTAACTGTATTACAGACAGAGACGCTTTAAAGTACATGGCAAGAGATGTGTAAGTACTACACCATTGTATACATTTTCTAAGTAGGACCTGAACAACAACAAATCTTGGTGCTTGCAAGGGTCCTAAAATGACTATTCACGTATAATACATGACAACTGTATAGCTATAACAGCTTCTGTTTTTCTGTAAGAATTCTTAACCAAAAATTTCATTGTTAACTTACAAAAGATAAAAGGAAAAATGTCATTATAAATGTGTCAACATCAATTCAGTACTCAATTTTAAAAATCTGGCTTTCAGAAATATTAAAGCAATCTGGTAAGTTTATAAAAGTACTTTTAGCCTAAAAATGCTTATAATATATATTACAAAGTTTAAAGGAAAAAATTTATGTTTCAAATTCCCTTGATCTTGATCAAGATTCCTTGATCTTGTGTAAATGAAGCAGTTTGAAGAATTCATCTAAGACTCTCTGCTAATTACAAAAACACTCTGGAAACTTGTAAACCAACTGATGAGTACACTACCTTTTTATTAAACTATTTTAATAATTGTAACAGTCAATTCATAGGTAGTCCGGGTACTTTTAGCCTCCCTGATCAGTGTGTTACCTTTTGATTTGCTAATGAATAAATACTGGTAGGAAAAAGAGAAAATGTTTAAAAGTCTATATAAAATTTGTCAATTATTAGTTAAGCTGAGTAAAGGCAAATAATAAAGATCAATTTTTGAAATAATCAAAACTACTTAAATTCAAAGATAAAAATGCTCTTTCATCTGCTTTTTTTGGCTGTCAAACTGTGATCAAGGCCTACTTGTCATAATAATTATAACACTAGTCAAGTGTAAAATTCTAATTCATGATAAACTTCATTCTTCATATATGAACAGGGGCATCACCTTTCTTGCAGAACTTTTACGAGGATTATAAATGAATGCATGCAAAGTGCCTAAAGCAGTGCATGCAGTATATGCTCACTAGAAGACAGGTGTTTTAGGAAAATTTAATAAAGTACAGTTAATCCTAATATAATTCTGCTTTCAAATACATGTTCTTAAAAACTACAAGTGAAACAAATGTAATAGAAAACCCAAAAGTGCTAACATGACACTCAAATTTAAAGCTTTGGAGGGTCTGGATTTTGACTTTCTGGACTGGGCATGCTCAAGCACTGAAGTGTCCATGAATCTTCAAAATCCTAAAAATGTGAAATTCAAGACCCCTCTTGTCCTAGGCATTTCGAATAAGGGAAATGCCATGTGTAGGTGTGTTTTTTGAAATAATCACTTCAAATATAGAAAGGTGAGGATTAATATTCTAAAGTGAGATTCCAACCTACTGTCCCTCTGACTGAGTAATCTGGCTGAACTGTATCACCTCAGGAATTAATGTTCGCTTGCCAAATCAACACATGCCATCATCAACTGGCTTGTACAAAGTAATCTCTCTTGCACAATTTCTGCTTCAGTGAGACTGGGCTCATATTTTCCTGCCAATACTTCTCAATGTAGTTCACGTGTAAATAGCATCAGCAAAAGGGTATATCATATTCATCTTTATATTCCCAATGCTGTGCCCAAACCTGACACAAGAAGTCCCACGGATAAACAGATAACTGATTAATATGCCTCTGCTCAGAGAATTCCTCACCTCATTTCTACAGTGTGTTATAAAATCAAATTTATGTCCATCTTTTTTGTTTTTAAAATCAGGCTCAGGTTTTCTTCTAAACACACACACAGATACATAGATACAGACGCATTTCTAAATGAGACAAATTTAATATAACTTAATACTCACTGTACTTATACCAAGTTGAGCATTTCTATTCTGAAAATTCAAACTACAAGAATTTTTAAGCAAAGTGGAAAACTACTGTATAACATTACCTTCTCGCTGTTCTTAAGGCCTATACACACTTAGATCCCATTTCCAGGATATCCAACTATACCCACATGAATATTCCTCAGTGCAAAAGTGTCTGGAACCTGAAACCCACAACACTCTGGTCCCACATGCTTTGGACAAGGGAAACTCAACCTGAGAAAGGATCGTGCCAGTCCTTCCTCCTTGTGCTTTTCTCTATCGTCTACCTGGTTGGGGTGTCAACCTAGAAAAGGAAGGAACTGAGTTCTAAGCTTCTTGTCTGTTCATTTTCTGTTTTGGAATAATACGTGAAAGCACAAACAGATTTTCTAGCTCATCATGGAGATATCAGTGAATATGGTCTAGAATTCACTCAGCATTCTAACTCAGTACTAAGTCCTTGCTGTAGTTCCTGAAATAATATCTAAACCTAGAAGCACTTGATTTAGAGATGTTCCAAAATCTTTCTCTACTGTCAGACTACATTTAATATCTTAAAGGGGAAAAAAATCAAAATTTAGATTTATTATTTTGATGAAGGAAAATTTTAATCTGCAAAAATATTTAAGAGGAGAAAAAAATGATACCTTCAAGTATTTTTTTCTCTGAAGATATTTTAGAAGCAGAAGCAGGAGCTTGGTACAAAAAGTCACAGAGGAACATTGCCTGGGTGGGCTCTTGACTTAGCCCTGTGTCAGAATGAACGTCATGTTGAGGAAAATCTGGAAAAATTAACAAAATAATACACTTACAATCCAATGTGTAACTATTCCTTTATGAATATGTAGATGAGTCTTAAGCTAAAAGAAAAATGATTTCAAATTTACCACTGAATAAACAGAGATTTATTTTACTTTGTATAAAAGTTGCACCCACGTCATATTTGTTATTCATGTATGAAAATCGGATTTAATTTTGCTGGAAATGATTATGTGGAATTAACTATTTGTCTTCCATTTATACAATCAAAGAAAAATAAAGCATGTATTTCTCAAACTTTTTCTTGAAACGATATACACATATTTTGGTAATTATATTTTTCTTTATTCTGATGGTTCTGTTTAGTTGACAAACAGATGAGTACTTCAGTCCTTCTAGGCCTGTGTCAGAGGAGAGCAGGGCAACTGAAGAGCCACGGACAAACCTGAAAATTTGTTATGGTACAGAAATTCCATTTGCAGACTCTGCCCCGCCTTCTTGGCCAGCAGGTAGGGGGTGCTGTGCACAGGGTCCCCAGTGGCACACATGACGTCAGCGCCGCTGAACAGCAAGGCCATCGTCTCCAGCACGTCTGGTTTCACTACAGCAGCACACAGAGCCTAAATATTAACAAAAAATATACCTTTTAAGGGAAGTATGTATGGTGCTAGCTAGGAAAAGGATGGAAGCCTGACAACTCATTGAGGGGATGGAGTTTGCATTTCTGAGAAAAAACTAAGGCAGTTTATCATAGCCATGCTGTTAGGCAGTAGGTGTCTAAGGTCTGCTTGGGATGGATTTCAACTACAGTCCAGGACTGTCAATGCTCCAGCCACTATTTAACTGGGATGTCCTCCTACTGCCTAACCCATCACAACTGCTTTGAAAAACACATTTTTTTTCCATAATTTTATCGAGAAACAAATAGCAATGAGACAGTTTCAAACCAAATTGGTAGGACAGTTTCAATAATTAACACATTGCACACATTCTTCCTAGTGGTTAATTGCTGTGCAAGATGCAGACATGACATCCTATTTACAAACACTATTAGAACAAATCCCTCTATTCATTAAGAGAATGTAACTACATATCTATCCTAACGAATTTGAATACACAGATACAAAATGGACATTCATCTGTATCCCCTTTTTGTTAAGTTCCATTATTTGAGTATTACAGGCGTGTTAACTCAGCAAAATATTCTAAAAGAGTCCAGTAGCCCATAATAGTATTGGGTCTTCGGCTTGACTGGCAATGTCAGAAATTGTTGACCTGAGTCCCCTATAGCTCAACATAACAGCATGACTTTACTTCTTATATTTCTTTTTTATACTTTTCTGCTGGATGGTTAAGACCAAGGTAAAGTAGGACCTATGCAACAAGAGTAGTAGCTTTTGGGTCTGATAAGGTCAGTGAAATCCCCTCAGGATTTATCCTGAGATCCTGTACCTCAGATTGTAGAACCTTTGTCAGTGTCAGTCATGTGGATGAGTCAGGGCCATTGCTTGGGCAATGTGAAAAATACTTTTTTTTTTTAATGTTTGTATACTCTAATAATGGTTAATGCTAAGAAAAAGTGAAAACACTGTAAATGTAATAAAGTTTCCAGAGAAGGTTCTGCATTGAATAATGCTAATATATATATATATATATATATATATATATATATATATATATATATTTTTTTTTAACCTTATCAGATGCTGCAGAATTCTTGAATTATCATTGTGCATGGGAAATGTGAATGGTAAGTCGAAAGTATATTTCTTTTGGGGACAGGATATGGGAGGAGAAACAGTAAGCAATAAAAAAAAAAAAAACATTATTGACTTAATTATACATTACCCATGTGCAAACTTCAAAAGAGAGACTTGACATGATTTTTCCCTTGAGGTAATAAGCTGCCTCCATGTCTTTTCTATGCTGTATATTTTATGGAAGTTCTTATGGCAGTTCTCAAACCACACTTTGTCTTCCCATTTGCTTAAAACGTGCAGGTGGGGACATCCTAAGCTTTCAGCTTCAGACTCACTGCACTAGCTCCTTCCAGATGCACTGCACATGGACATCGGATCACTGGTCACTCTGCCCTCTGTGACACAGCCTTAGAGAAAGGCAGGAGATGTTCCCAGGAGGAGCTCAAAATAAATATCTAAGAAGATATACTGACCATTCTTGCCTTGAGACAATGGTAAGAAAAAACTTATCTTTACAACCTGGCTGGGCTCCAGAATTTCCTTCTCCTCAGAATTAAGAAGTCTGAATTCTTAATTTTTTAAATTACTTATTTATTTATTCATTTATTTACAGTGTCGTGGTACACAGCTCAGACTCACAGTGATCTTTCTGTCTCAGCCTCCCCAGCACTGGGACTACAGGTATATGCTACCATGCCTGGTTTGGGTGGCCGGCACAACATGTAGTACAAGGGATCAAAGTCAGGTCCTTCTGTTTGCCAGGCAGACCCTTCGACCATCAAGCCAACTCCCCAGCCCAAAGTCTGAATTCTGAGAACTGATCCTATAATAATTTTCCAGGGGTCTTCTGGCAAATTCTGTCTCTTTGGGTCTTAGATTTTCCTTCAGGGGCTAACTTTTGGGCTGTAGTTGAAATCCATACCAACCAGAACTTTTGTACCTGCTGCCTAACTCAGAGCATGGTTATAATAAGCTGCCTTAGTTTTTCCTAAGAAATGCAAAATACAGGTGTTGGAAAAAATAAAGCCCACTCCACATTCCATTCTGATGGTCTCCAGCACCTCCTCAGCTTAACCACATGTTCTGGTCATGCTTTCTCATCACTCTTCTTTCCCTCACGCAACACTGCACTTGCTGTTGTGATTTAGTGGATTCTAGCTGTTCAACATCAGTCTTCTGCATGACAGTCCTTCCAGAAATAAAAGAATGGTGCCTGTGAACACCACTGTATCCCTAGCACCAAGAAGAGGACTCAACAATTGGCAAGTGTACAGAGGTAATAGCGTAAATAATTTTCTGTAAAAATTATTCACTGACATTAATATAGTACTTTTAAAAAGTCCAATGTAGATGTAAGTCCTACTAAGTAAATTTCCCTAAAAAATTTTGAAGGAATGCACTTGTTATTATTTAACCTAAACCAATGGTTTCATTAATGGAAACTGCCTGGTGTGACATGCAATACCTCACTTGAGGACATCAAGAATTAAGAAAGGGATTCACATTATGATCCCATGGGAGAAGGCATTTGGGGTAACATACAACTCTGTTCTCCAGGGTCACACCTGCCTTTCAAAATTTTAAATTTACTCTCCACTTACTTTATATGCCTCTGGTATATGAATTACATTAAGAATGAAGCTATGTTTGTAGTACCTTCTTATTACGCCATGAATATCAGGTATAATTGGCTGGTTAGCTTAATAATTTAATTAGACCCATGAAAACACTACTCCTCCAAAATCTTAAATAAGACACTAGAAGTCTACATCTAATTCTATGGTTCCCACACTCTGTCCCATTTTTCTAACCTTTTTCTCACCTTAGGAATCCATGCTAAATGTCATAATACTGTTTAAAATTGGTTAATGACCCCCCCACATTACTAATACTAAAGATATAAAAATTTGTTTTTAAGAGAACTGAACAAACAAAAAGCCAATATATGTGTATTCTTTCTCAAATGTGGACAAAGACCTTTTATTCCAAAATAGTCAACACAATGCTACTTCCATAAGAATCCTTCTCTAACAAACCTGGCCATAAAAAATGTAAGAACTGAGAACAATAAAACATTGTCATCTGAACATTTTTTAAAATGTGTGTATATGGGCTAGGGAGATAGCCCTGGCAAGCACAAGGTCCTGAGTTCAATCCCCAATACCACCCCCCCCAAAAAAAAGTGTATAAAGGCATACATTTTAAATAAGTAAATCTACACAAAGGCTTCCTAGTGAAAAAACAGCAATTTAGAACAAGAGGTGGAAATATTTACCCAAGTCCTTTGCCTGAAAACCTTTGCCCAAAGTATTTATAAAAAGAGTAACAAGTCTTCAAGCCAAGTGCAGTTAGCAAAATAGAGTTTACAACAATAAATAAACTTTTTTTTCCCTGTATTTAGGACAGGGTCTATAGGATCTCACTACATAGATCAGACTCGTAGTGATCTTCCTGCTTACAGCCTCCCAAGTGCTGGGATTACAGGCACACGCCACCACACCCAGTGTCAACTGCAGTCTCACGCACCCCATGGGTGGGGCTGGCATGACACACCACTGATCAAATCCTGGCCACTGTGCTCTTCCTAAGCAGGTGCTTTAGCTGCTGAGTATATGGCCAGGCCTAAAAAATTTCAATATTAGTGACAGCATCCACAATATAAAAAGTTATGTTTTTATAAAACAGAGGAAGTATTCAAAGTTTTAAGAATATTAAGGACAGGTTACAGAGGAAAGACATATCCACTTATGGCAGTGAATACTAAAGTAAAATAAGGGGTAAACCACTGGTATGGTCTCACAAAAGCACATATAAAAATTAAGCAATATTGTCTAATAGTATAGGACCTTTTATTTCTTATTGAGAATCTTAGCATACGTTTAAAAAAACATTAAAGTCTATGTGTACTGCTATATTTTATTGAATACCTTATTTAATTCTTCTTTGGTCAGAGAGGCTAGAAGAGTTTTTCTGAATTTTCCTTCTCTGTATTTCTGAGTAATAAAGTTTTTTCTCTTTTCTACTGGTGAGTCCATGTGTAATTCTTCATCCTTTTGAAGGTTGCCAGCCCAAAAGTCATTTGCTCTCTTGTTTCCAATGACGATAAAAAGCTGAAATATTTTTAAAAAATCATAAAATGCATCAATTCATGAAATATATCTCTAGAAGGCTGCCTTCCACTATAAAGTAAACAATAAGTGAGTATAAAATGTAGAGGAATACATGAAAGGCCACTCTTTTGGGAAGATGCAGGATGAAAACACACACAGCAATTTTAAATATACAACTTATCTATTCTACACAATCACAACATATTTCCTTGAAAAGAAACTGCAAGCTGTACAGGCTGCACGTACAGGAGATGTATTCACTCGATGCACAGAAACAAGACACAGCAGGTGGACCAGTGCTGGTGAGGCCATGCGGCCAGCTCAACAGCAGTCAGATGGAGGCTGGCCACGATGAGAAATTCTGTTAAAGGTCTTCTTTCAAATTTCTAATGTGGTATCATGCTCAGTTAAAAAAAAAGTTCTCCATTTTATAAAAGCTCTCAGGCCTTTATACAGGTAACGCTGGTGCTCCTTGCACTTTTTGTTTAAGTAAGTATCTTACTTAAAGATATCTGAGTTGCCTCATCAAACAGGTTGCAGCCACTTTCCTAATGTACTGATAGCTTCACAAAATCCACCTAAAGAAACCCCAGCTGCACCCTCACCCACCCCTGCACTGCCCTGCCCGCACCTGCTCACCGCCACCAGTGACACAGCGCGTACCTCTATGAGTTCATTGCTCCAAATGCTGGCATCCATTTTTAGACTTCTAACTTTCGAATCCTTTGGGCCCAAAGATCTATGTTGTCCTGAATAATAATAAATAAAACTGTTAGTTATATATGAATTTATATTGCTTTTTAAAAAATATATACATGAGTATATATACACATAAAAATGTGAATTAAACTCACCTTAAAACACACAAATACCTACTTCGTTAAATGTGGAGTGTATTGAGAGTAGTTTATTTTTAAAAACCCACAAAGAAGTTGTCATCAATCATCTTTTTTACTACAGTGCATTATTTGAGACCAAACATTTTAATTTTCATTTTATTCCTTTATAATTAATCAATTAATTTGTTACATGGTCCTGCTACACAGCTTGGACTCATAGTGATCCTCCTGTCTCAGCCTCCCCACTGCTAGGATTTAGACGGAGTATCAGTACACACCCACTTTGATGGCCGGCGTGACATGCACAGAGTTCTGGGGCCTGGTACCAGGGATTAAACCTGGGTCCTTGTGCTTACCAGGTAAAGACACTTAGACCACTGAGCTATCTCCCTAGCCTTTATTTTTATTATTATTTTTTTTTTAGTTTGTATGTTTGCAGCATGTAATGATCTCATTCCCAGTAGGAAACTCGAATGTGTATGTAGCACATTTGAATTCTTTTTTCATCCCCTTTCCTCCCCTCTGTATAACATCTTTTGCCCTTTTTTCCTCTCATTTATAAATCTCAGAAGCAGCCTTCATGTCTATCAATAGATGAATAAAAATGTATTTATACAGAGAGGGGAAGTTTTCAGAAAGCTGGATGGTGTTAACATGATGGACTTATGCAAGTTGCATGGTGAAACAGGAACCATTGTTGAATAACTATATAAGAGCTAAGTGAGAGGAATAACCAAGAAGGTGAGGATCCCAAGCAAAGAGAAAAGGAGGACACATAAGTGGAACAGCCCCGGATCACACACAGCTGCCTCCTCTAAGGAGGCTGGACAGGAGAAAAGATGGGGAAGCTATCTAATGTGGAGGGTGACTGCCTCATGATTTCACTGTCACCTCTGGTGCTATTAACTGGTGGGAAAAGCTATCTTGCTATGAGAAGTGTAATAGATCTGGGCAGTAGAAAATATGATGGGTTCGAGACAACTGTTGTCGCTGCACTGCCCACTGTCCTACTGCAGCTAAGGTGGGAGCGCTTCTTCTATCATCTGACTCTGTACCTCACACTGAACTCCAGTCCTGAAAAGTAGCATACTCTAATTAGAAGACGTGCCATGTCTTATACATCTGTTTAATTTGCTAGACTAGCACATATCCTTGTAAGTGTGTAGATGTGTGCACACACCATATGCATGTCTGTCCATCTGTCCGTCTGCAGGAGGGAGACAGAAAGAAATCCGGGAAAAGTGCAGTGAAGTTCACATGAGGGCTCACCTTCTCTGAGACGTCCACAAGTGGCCCTATTCTGGGGTCTACTTCCCTCTTCTCCCTGAGGGTAACTGTCTGAGCTCTCAACTACACTGAGAACCCAGGAAGTCAGGAATTAGGATCTCAGTAAGAAAACTAGTTACAATAAAAGTTACTTTCATGAGCATTAATACTGACTTGAAATACGTCTACATAAAATTCTTATTAAAGAGATACCAGGAGATCGGGCATGGTGGCACATGGATGTAATCCCAGAGCTGGAGAGGCTGCAAACAGGAGGATCACTACCATGCCGAGCTATGTAGTGAGACCCTGTGCCAAATACACACACACACACACACACACACACACACACACACACACACAAAGCTACAAAGGAATGCCAGATCCACATAGAAAGTTTAGGGCTCAGAATGACATTCACGAAAAAAATATATTCTAAGATGGCAGTGCAAAATGGATAAACCTTCATGCAAAGATGCAAGTTGGAGCTGGTTGTATTTTAAAATCTATTTTAAAATTTTCAACACTTTCTAAAATCTATACATGAACCAACAGGCACAAAATATGATCACAGGATTAAAAATCAATTTTTACATCTGAGTCGTGCATAAGAGAAGTGTAGAATTATACAGTATTTCTAAGTTGACTTTAAATGTAATAAGTTCTCTCTGATTCGACTTTTCACAAGCATTAGCCAGGATGACAATGAGCAGTCAGGGCCAGCGCGCCACCAGGCAGCAGTGAACACAGCCCAGCACTAATTACCTGCGCACTTCTTGCAGATGACAACACAGAGATTGATGGACGCCCAGTCAGGGTCGGGGGCTTTACAATCTGCACAGCTCCTGTTGGACTCATTGAACCAAATCTTCTCAGCTACTTCGTAATCAGAGAGAGTTTCTGCTATTGATTGCTGCACAGCTTCAATCCAGGCTTGTTTCTCTTTTTCAGATTCGGCTGTAAAGCTGAAACAATTAACGTTTCTGCATTATCGATCTCCTTTGTAAAGGCCAATTAAGCAGCATGCTCAGTTTGCATATTCATTTCACTCACAAATTAAAAAGCAGCTGAAAAGTATGCTGCCAGGCAGTTCTGGACTGTCCTTTCTGGTAAAAATCATCTAACTTAACAAATTGGTTTTCTCTTTTTAAGCTTTCCATATTGTTTATGAGTTTGTTTACATATCCTGAACCAAAATTACCATATACATTTTTCTTACCAAGATAGAAAAAACTGTCTTGTTAGATCACAAGTTTATATAAGAGGCCATGTTTTCTAAACAAGGGTTATATAACCATCAATAAGTGACTGGCAGAGTTTAAGACCATTGGACTATTTTGCCAAGTAAATATGTCAAGGTAGTCTAAGACTAAAGTACCAAAACCACCCACTGATTCTTTTCAGACTTGTGTGTGTGTGTGTGTGTGTGTGTGTGTGTGTGTGTGTGTGTGTGTATGAATATCCAGATGGCTTTGAGAGATTGAGACACCAGGAAAGTTTTAAGTGGATATTATTCTAATGTATCCACAACTCACTTCAGCCACATTGTGACTTACTCTGCTGCTTTGTACTTCTTGAGCACATGACCAAAGGAATCAAGCATGCAACAGCAGCTCGCCCCTGAGAGGAAAGGCTTGCACTGGCACCAGGGGCCGTGCTACACACTCCACGATGCACCACTGACTCACACTGCAACTCTGTGCTCAAAAAGTGCTAACAATGAAAATCACAGCTGACCAGCAATTTGCAAAGAATCCAAGAAACGTCATGGCTTACTTAGGTTTCCTGAAGCACTTCATGACTCTGTCATCAGCATAGTGCTAGTAAAATTCTCAGTAGTTTCCATAAAATTGCTGGTTGCAGCCAGTGTCTCTATTTTCAGATAAGGCTAGAATCCACAACCTTTTTGCTTTCATTTACTTTATTAGTGGATTTGAGATGGGTTTTGTTTTGTTTTGTTTTGTTTTGTTTGTTTTGTTTCAAAATTCTGGGGATCAAACCTAGGCTCTTGGGTATGTTAGGAAATCACTCTTCCACATAGCTACATCAAAAGACTCAGAATTTGCAAGTGTTAAAATAACACTAGTTGATTTTCAATCAAAGATTCCTTTCTCAAAATTTGAGCCAGTCCCAGCAGTAGGGAGGCTGAAGCAGGAGAATCTCCACAAACTCAAGGCCCTCCAGAATTACACAGGATATTCAAAGCCAGATACTGTCTTTAAAAAAAAAAAAGAAAAAATGCCAGGATGCATTTTGACAAACAGCATATGTGACAGACTTAGTCAAATCTTGCAATCACTACTCTTTCAAAGATCTAGAACAATTTCCTCTGACCTGCATACTACTTTAAAGTACGGTGACTACTTGCGACAAATGAATTAAAGCAGCCGAATTCAACAGGCAATGACCCATTCTACTCTGTATACATCTATGAACTCATTACAGATTATTAAATTATAAAGTATTTTAAAAATTTTATCAATGGAATTACTAAACAGTATTATATATTTCAGAAATACATCAATCAACAATTTTATGTGACCCATTAGATTCTGTATTCTTTTGAACCAAGTCTCTGGAGGAGGAAATCATATGGAACAACTACAAGTAGGAACAGATCCGTTAAGGGATGGTATCCGAATAGGCTAAAAGAAGGAAAACAATACAACTTAAACACAACACAAAATTCTTTTTAAAAGTATTCCTTCTGAATGTGAAGAAGTAGGTCACATTTATTGATGAAATAAATATTCACCAAGTCTACTAAGGAAAAGACATGTTAAGAAAACACAATTAGAGGGGTCGGGGAGATGGTTCAGCAGAATAAGCGCCTGCCTGGCAAGCGCAAGGGCCTGAGTTCAATCCCCGGTTCTGCAGGAAAAATAAAAAAAACAAAGAAAGAAAACATAACTATTTAAAGTTTATAAACTTAAGTATCTTTACAGGTTGCATAGTTACTCAGTCTACTTTTATAAGGTGTTTTTATGTGCTGGCTAGTAAGTCAGACAATGTGGAAAGGACATGTGTTTGTTTTCAATATCCTATAGTAGATAAAATCACCACTAGTATTATAAAGATGGGCTGCCAAGTGTTCTTGCAATAATATAAAAAACTTTAAAATAAGCTCACCTGAAACTCCTATAGGGAGTGATGATTTCGAAAGACTGTTTCACAGTTCGGTCCACTTGCTTTACATTTGCTACATTCATGGGGATTATGGTGATACCAAGTCCATTCTTAAAATCCTGGTTTGGGAAAAAAAATTAAAAACTATAAACAAACAATAAGTAAACACTGGATTCTGAAAAACTAATCACATTTTTTTCTAAAATCCAGTAACCTAATGAATTTTTCTCTACATATGAATCTGGAATGTATTAGATCTAAATAGAACACAAACTGAGATTGTTTTTTCTCAATTTAGTTAATTCAACACTTCATAATACTGCACCAGTCTAAGGTTGGCAGATGAGCTATTAAGAATGTGAGTATTGGGGCCAGGGAGATGGCTCAGTGGAATAAGTGCTTCCCTGGCAAGTGCAAGGGCCTGAGTTCAATCCCCAGTTCCGCAAAAAAATAAATAAATAAATAAATAAAAATAAAAAAAGAATGTATTTTCATATAAAAGATAGGTTGAGTAAACCATAAATGCTAACACACACCTTTTTTTTGAAAGCAGGCATTATATTTACCTTTATCTACTTTGTAAAGGAAACTAACAATCAATATTCCTTATCATGAGCCAAACTTTCCAGACAGCAGGGTTAAATGACAATATAACATTATCATAATTACTATTCATATGAAAATATGGATAAACTGAGGCAGGAAGAGATGAAAATTATGTGGAAGCGTAGACAGCTGTAATGATGTCTGTTCTTGAGTTGCCGTGATAGATTATCCTTATGTGCCACTCTTTCTCATCATTTACTCTCACACAAAGACGTCATTTATCAACTATACAGTTTTATCTCATATTCAATACTTCGTTTTCCTTTTCCATAAGGTTCTTGTGTGTGTGTATTTATTTTAGGGAAGGGTCTACAGGCTGTTCAGGGTCTCACTACTAGATCGGACTTGTACTGATCGCCTGTTTACAGCCTCCCAAGTGCTGCAATTACAGGCACGCGCCACCACGCCAGTCTCAAGTGCCCTCTCAGTGCACCCTGGGGGCAGGGAGAGTACGGCAGGCCCAGGGACTGATCCCCCAGCCCCTGCGCAGAGCTATTTGGCCAGCCCTTCCATAAGATTCTTAAAAAGCTCTCTTAATGCTACCTTGATATCAAAACTACTGGTTCAACAACTATAGCCACTGTGCACAGCTTACTTCAAGCAAATGAGAAATTATCCAAGATGATACAGAGATTGCATTCTAAAATGATCAAAATTTGTGATACATTATCTGTTCATATGGGTTTTAAAATTTGAACTATCAAGTAAATAATCTCAATATTTTCCAAAAATATAATATGTACCTCAAAAAAGAATTACCTTTGTGAACAAGTTTAGATTAAATGTGCTGTGAATATCTAAAGTCAACTAAGAGGGGAATAACCTAGCCATACTAAAGGGAAAGGATAAAGAAAATGATTCATTTTCCGTAACAGTCACCAAAGACCGTTTAGAAGAACTAACCAAGAAGCGATTCACAGCAGAGGCAAAAAGTAGAAGTACCATCTTGCCATCTCATACACCTACAAGTGGCCACATTTCCTAGAATTGGCCAGTATGATATAAGTAAGTGCTGGTGGAGTTTGTGGCAGTCAGATGTAGCTTAGGAAAATAAAGTCTTTCACCCAGTCTATTTTGTTTCTTGGGAAATGAAATCTATAGGCAGAGAAATGATTTTAGAATCCTATGAGAAGTCTGAAGACCGATTCTTGATCCTAGAGGATCCTGGATGTAGAAAGAAATAAAAAGACCTCTGTTTTTTGGCAGAGTCAAATCTTCACTGCATATACTGCAACATGCTGAAAACAATCCCCCATCTTATTATGCTCTACATCAGTTTTTGTGTTCAACATATTCTTGACTAAGGAGTACAGGAAAATAATTTCATTAACAAATTTTTCCCCACGGGCAATTATACTTAGAATTTCAGTTCACAAATGTTAGAAAAGTCTTAGTTTTTTATTTATTGTATAAATATTAATTTAGAATAAGAAAATAATTTATTTAGAAAACAATCTTCAGTTGATTTTTTATGTATTTTATTTTTATTCATTTTAATGAGAAAAAATAAAATAGCAACGAAACAGTTTCAAAACAGGTTAGCAGGACAGTTACAATAACTGATACATTGCATATTATTGTCTTTGTTATTCAGAGGACAAGATGCAGACATCAGCAAATCGCTCATTCTACCAGGGAATAAATGGCAGAAATATAGAGCAGGTAATATAAAAACGAAGATTCTGAGAAATGTTAAGCTTTGTAAAATAATTACAAAGGTGTGTATTTCTACTTAGCCCACTGCATGAAAGACAGGACCCTCTGTGTTCATATGGACAGAAGAAACATCAAGCTTTTCTAACTGGCCACATCATAATATGGTCTTTTAGTATATCACTATAGGTTGTACTTATTAAATTATAAAAGCAAATTCTCTATTATCTGTAGCAATATTCCTGACAGATAATGTGACTATTTGATGAATGTCCAATGGATGCTGACCAGAAATTCATACTCTTTTATAAATGGGGAAACAAGGAAGAACAGCAAAATGAGATACATTTAAACAAGCTTTCTGATGGCTCCCCTTATAACCTCTGTGATGAATTAGTATATTGGGCTATGCGTCCTCCAAACCATTTTCCATAACGAGGCTTCTGACAAGAGCTGGGTATCAGGCCACTGCAGATTACGTTCTCCTGTGAGGGCTGACCTGCACTGCTGCTCGTTACAAAGGGCAGAGGCACACAATACTCTGACCATAAGACTAGCAGATGGTGCGAATGACAACCTTTTATGGAAAGTGATGAGTGCCATCAAAATTCTGGCCTGCATAGATGCCCCTCATTTCTACAAGCAAGTCATGCAATGTCTACATCCAAAGTGGCAATTTCTGCTAAGTGAGGGCTGGCTCAACACGCTGAAGTTCTCCCAAGCAAGGCAAAGATGATTATTTTAGCCTCAAAAATTGTAGCCCATTTATCAGCTGCTCACCATGGCCATATGGTTTTGAGTAATTAGAGTATTCACATAGTTCACCGACACAAATTGACTGTGAAATATACACAAGAGTAACAAAATAAATGTCAGTGCACTCAAAGCTATTAGATATGAAACAAGTGCCTTTTCCATTAGAAATAATTTGGTGATATTAAGTCCTTTTTCAGACAGTATTTATAACATATTCAGACTATTTTTCATTCCCAAATGCTCAGCAAAACTATCGGAGATCTCTCAACCTGAGATTTGCTTCCAAGTATACAAGGTCAAGACCTAAAAATCTTTAATTTGCAAAAATAGTATTACACATATTGTGCTTATATATGGCCAGTAATGAGAAACATTGAATTAGATAACAGGACACAAACACTTCTTTGTCTCTGTACAACATTTAAAAAATTCAGTCAGAATACACAAAAAACACTTGAGATCATTAAAGCTACAAGCTGAAAATAAGCAGGCCAGATCACAAGGACGTAGTCAACTGTCATGATCCCATTTAATCAACTGCTATATCCTGCACTCTACCCAAAGACTAAAAGCATCTTTATGGTATTCTAATATCTGTTTGTACAGTGCTCTGAAGTTTATAAATGGCTATAAACTTGCATTTGATTTCCTAAATGATGCTATGAGTATACTGTTCTTTTTAAATGGGAAAATTAATCCTAGCAAAGTAGTGTTTATTAAGTACGTGGAGAGTGCCAATAACTGTACTAACGTTTGCACCTCAACAGAAGTACTAGATAAAGTGCTTGACTTAGGGAAGCTTATGGTTTAAAAAAAGAATAAGAGAAAGTAGTGATACATTCAATGAAAGAAGAGTCCCTGGTTGGAGGGAAAGCAGTGAGATCCACCCACAAAATGAGAGCTGTATTCATAAAAAGGCTTTCCAAAGGAGGTAACACAAACTGGTCAAAGGATAAAACTCACACCAGCTGGATGCTGAGATCCATCTCTCTTGATTAAGTGAGACGCAGCATTTGTAGTCTCACTTGGGTGAGAACTCACTCAATGCAATTAAAAGTATGTAGAAGATGTCTAGAACATGCCAAGTGCCACACTGGTCTACTTAACTACTGTTCTTATTTTTATTTTCTATGTCTTGAATTTGGAACCAAGTGAATGCATTGCTTATTACAAAGTTAATTACAAGAAAACACATGTTCAAAAGTAACTAGTTAACAAATACGTTTTAGAAATGGAATGAAATGTAAATGTTAAATGTTCAGGAAAATTAAAAATAAATTGCCCATTAAGTACAATCTGATTGTGAGTTCTATTTTTGTGAAGAAAATATGCATGAGAGATGAACCTATCTTTCAACCTTTAACATGCTATAAACTTGAATGAAAAAAAATGTAATGAAGAAATTCAGTGGGTAGAATTATAATTATATAAAGTAAACAGCCAAAAATGGATTGCAGAGCAAGCAATATTTTACACTTAGTGCTCTGCAACAGAATACAGGATCTCAGGAAGCACAAATCCTGCCACCAGCAATAACTCCCACGCGTGCCATAGCAGAGCTGGACCCTGCGGGTCATGACCAAGGCAGCACCAAGTTAGTCCTGGGGGAGAAGCTTGGCTGAACCATATACTGGCTGTAATACCATCAGGAAGTTACACAATTTATCTAGACCTCAATTCCTAGTTTTTGGAAAATACAACATCTACCTTATACAGCATTGCCATAAAAATGAAATGAAGAAAGATAAATTCAGGTTTCATACACCCTGATCAACTTTTCACATGAAAGTTCAAAACACAGAATTTATCTTCAAACAAACACATTCACATTTACAATGACAGAAAGTATTCACAAGAATGATTCCACACTAATTCAGACAGGAATAGCATTAAATATTTACCAAGATACCAAAATTAGTTGTTTATACAGATCTATAGCAATGCAATATGATTAGAATTCCACAGTGCAAGCAAAATGATAGCTTGATTCCGAAAGAGAAAATTTCAGCAAGAGTTTATTAACCTCAAATCTGTTGAAATCTCAAACCTATTTTTAGAAATATTGGATGCTAGGTTTCCCTGCCAGGAATTTAGGAACTTGGTG